AGGCCGACCAAGTGCTAAAATTCAGGACAGATGGAGCACTGTGGTACCAGTGGGCATGTGGTCGAATTGGTAGGAGATGAGGTTTTCTCCAAGCCTCCTAAAGATAGAGATGTGAAGAGATGAAATTCCAGGAACTGAGGGAGCAGAGCAGTTGGCTCCTTTGGCTCAAACGGCATGTTAGCCATGTGGGGAAGTCTGATGGGAGACGCAAATGGAACGATGGAGACGCAGGTTGACGGTGGAGATGCAGGTGGAAGGTGGAGGCGCAGAGGATAACCTTGAGTAAGGGGGAATATGAGCCACCCTGACTTTTCGTGACTCCTTTCCCTCACACGCAAAATCTCTCCATCTTCCGCTGTCACTGCAGTCTGACCACAACACCCATGAGAGGGAGACTTGAAATGCTTTTCTCAAAGGACAGCTTGAAAGAGAGGGAAGGCAGTTCTGTGAGTTTGCTATTGCTGCGGTTGAGAGCTGGGCCTTAACTCGGGGCTGTTGGGGTGTTTCAGGGTCTCAGCTCAGCCGTGGAAGCAGCTGTGGTGCCTGGGGTAGGGTGTCCTTTGGACGCCTGTAGCTGGCAGTCCGCCTGAGGAGGCTCCAAGGGGGGCAGTTCAGGGTCGTTCGGATGCCGGCCCTTGTGATGTCCTGTGTGTGCCACATGTCACGCGTGCCCTCTGCCTTTTCATTGGGAACTACTGATTGCAAGAGCATTTTTAAAAAATACATATTTTTATTGATTTCAGAGAGGAAGGGAGAGGGAAAGAGAGCTAGAAACATCAATGATGAGAGAGAATCATTGATCAGCTACCCCTGCACATCCCACACGGGATCGAGCCCGCATCCTGGGCATGTGCCCTGACCAGGAATTGACCGTGACCGCTTGGTTCATAGGTCGACGCTCAACCACTGAGCCATGCCAGCTGGGCTCAAGAGCATTTTTAAACAAACTTAAACAGACTTTGCTTCCCAGAGGCCTGAACCCTTTGTCAGATGAGCACTTTCTGTTCCTTTCCCCCAGGAGCGAGTCCAGTTAGCTCGGCAGGTTGAGAAAGCCGAGTATCGGAACTTCCAGGCTTGTCTGCACAACTCCTGGATTGAGCAGGCTGCTGCTGCCCTTGAGATTGAGCTGGACGAGGAAATGTACAAGGGTGAGTGGGCTGGACGGACCTTGAGCAAGGGCGAGTTCAGCTTGTTTTCCCTTCAACTTTGCTTTGTTGGAACCTCCCCACTACCACGGGTCCTGTCACTGTCAGCAAGATGCCTTTTCCTTCTTTGTGACAGGCCCTTGTCCCGGATGAGCCTAAAGCCCTCGGTCTTGCTTGCCTCTGTCTTCTTTGTCTGGGGCCTTCCATTACCACCCACATGTGGCCAGACTGCCCATGTTTGAGTGCTGCCCCATTCCCTTAACTGGATGTTACCAGGTCAGGTTTCTTAATCTCCCTGTGCCTGGGTGTCCTCATTTATAAAATCCGGGTTATAAAGTACCTACCTCATGGGGTTGTTGGGAAGATGGCTTGACTTATGGATTTAGAGTGCTTACAACAGTGACTGGCAAGTGGAAAGTATTTGATACATTTCGAGTTATTGTCATTACTACTCTGCTTGTCTTCCAAGCTAACGAAGCACTTGGTCATCAGCTCACCTGATCTGCATGGTCTCCTGACATAAACCACAGGATAGTTACCCTGTAAATAGGGAACTAGGGAACAGAAGAGAAGTCATTTGTGCAGGAAAACAGCCCCACCACCAGGTGTTTCCTGAGCCCCTAACTCCGAACCTGGGCCCGAGGCTCAGGATTCAGAGATGTGTCTGTGTGGTCCCTGCTCTAGAAAGTTCCCGAGTCTCAGGAGTGGCAGAACCACATCTGGAACCGACAACACCGAGTTAGGCCCATTGCTCTTTCCAGCCCACAAGTGAGTAGTTCAGCTGGGGTGTTGGCATCTCAGTGCCAAAACCAAGAGTCAGAGGCAGACATACTACTGTGTGCTCAGCATAGAAGCAGGAACCAAACCATTGGGCTTGATGACAGTGAGCTAGTCCTCCTGGTAGCTCGGGCTTGGGGCCTGGGCTGTAGATACATGAGGTTCTGCTCCCTTCCCGAGGACAGGCCGGTGTGAGCCCTTGGGCTGTGCCCGCCCCTGCAAGGTAGTCACAGTGCTGCGGGGGAGGCGCAGGGGAGCTGGGCTGCATAGACGTGTCCTGTCTCCTGAGGGGTTTGTAGCTTTGAGTTGTCAAACCCCAGGCTGCAAGTGGGTAGGGGGTGTAGAAAGAAAACTGATAACAAGTCTGGAGATTTGGGTTCTAGTCTGTTTGACAGCTAGCTCTGTGACTTTCAGCAAGTGACCTCTGAATTTCCTGGACTGTAAAATTAAGATAATTTCTGTCTTAGAGGGTTTTTGTGACAGGTAAGGACAGAGTGGCCCTCCTAAACTGTTAGAAGTCAGACAACACCAGCTTCCGCAGAGAACTTCTGAGCCTGCCTCTCCAGAAAACATTTCTCCTCACGACATCCCCATCAGGGGAAAGTCTTCAGGTAAATGTGATCTTTTTCGTACTGTGTTTCAAGGAGGAAAAGCTGACCAGCAAGAAGAGCGTCGGAGACAGAAGCAGATGAAGATCCTGAAGAAGGAGCTGCGCCATTTACTCTCGCAACCGCTGTTTAAAGATGATCTGAAAACCAAGTATCCCACTCAGTCTGGCCAGCCGCCCGTGCTCAGGCCTGCTCCGAGGAACGGTGAGTCTGCTTTGAGCTGCCTCTCCAAGCAGAAGAAGAGGAAGCCAAAGCCCAAAACAAAAGAGCAGCAGCAGCAGGAGCCCCAGCCAAGCACAAGTGCAAATTAACTGCCCTGAGGCAGCCTGCTGTGACCACACCTGGTCCGTGCTCTCTGGTTATGTGGGACACTTCCACCTTTCCTTTCACTCCACTGTCAGCCGGTTACAGAAATCTCTCCCCCACACCGCCCCGTAGTGGGAGGGACCTCATGCAGATTGTGTTGTTTTAAAGTAAGAATTCTGTGCAGCAGCTTACATGTTTCTGTATTTCAGTGTTTACAGGCTTGTATGTTCAACTTGATTTCCTTAATTAAAAACAACAGAACCAGCATGTCATCCTGTATTTTTAGCCAGAATATGGGGGGTTCTGTCCTAGTCCTCGGCTGTAGGATGCACATGGGGGGTGTCTCACCCCACTGGGCAGTGTGGATGGAGCAGGAGGCCAGTGCTCTGCAGATCAGTGTGAAGTCATTTCTGTCTGGGTCCTCAGCACGTGCTCCCGCTTTTCCCCACAGCAGAACCCTTAGCTCGGGCTCTCTACCACTCGCTTCGCTCACTGCTATAGTTTGGTCTGAGCCAGCCCAGGTGTAGGTAGGAAGAGGCCGCCGTCCTCGGGTTCCAGGACAACACAGGCTTCCTGAACATCAGAGCCACTTGTGGGGAAGCCAAGACTAGTATGCTGACCAGTGTGTGAGCACTCAGACCTGCCCTAGCCAGTTTCTCTCCTCGTCTCTCTCTCCAGCCCCTTTGTGACAGAACTGGCTGCTTCCCACGATTCCATGCGTCCCTTCTCTCATTCTGAGCCTTTGCATACGCTTTTCCCTTGGCCTGATTGCCTTCCCCATCCTTGAGCCCTGCTTCCTGCCTGTAGGTCCCTGAGCCCCCAAAAGGGTGAAGTGCTCCTGCTGTGGGCCCCCGAGTACCCATGCCCGCCCTCTGCACAGGGCTTGCCACTCACATCACCTTTGCTGAGCTCCTCAGAGCAGAGGCTGCTGCTTATGGCCTCTGCAGCTGCGGATGGTGTGTAAATGTGCCGAGGGAACCAGCGACCTCCCTGTGCCACCCGGCTTTCTCCGGTCAGTCTGGATGAGGAGCCAATATTGCTGCAGTTGTAGGAGACGCACTGATTTCTGTACAGCTAAGGCTGGGCTTCTAAACAAGTTTCCCTCGGCCTCATGGTTGGCAAGGTTGGCAGGATGGCAGCAGTATTTCCTCAGCCCCTTTGGATAACTACAACAGGATAGTTGGTCTAAACTCAGACTCAGGTGTCATTGCGTGTGGACCAAGTACCAGGACTGGTAGGCACTGCTAGCTACTCCATTACTTGTCAGGTCCCTGAGACATTCTTACGTCCTTCTTGCAGCGGAGAAGACCGGTTAAGCCTTGCTCAGGCTCACACAGCAGCAGGTGGCGGAGCTGGGTTTGGAACCCTGGGTATTTCCTTGTGGGCTCAGAGCAGGTTAAACATAGTGCATTAAAGACAGCAGTGTTGCCAAAGAGTGTCTCCCCAGTGTCACTGTAGTCCGTGAGGTCAGCGCCTGAGTGACAGCTGTCAGGACAGCAGGGGACTCTCCATTTTCCAAATGATACATGGAGATTCAAGGTCCCTTAGCAGCAACTGAGCCATGAGAGGCCCGGGGCCACTTGTCACAGGCCAGAGCCACCAATGTCCACCGACATCCTGCCCATACCTCCTAATGGCAAATTCTTTTTTTATTATTTTTACTAGAGGCTCGGTGCCCAAATTCGTGCATGGGTGGGGTCCGGCAGGCCCACCCAATTAGGGCAGATCTGGCTAGGTGGTGGTGGCTGGACACAGGAGGTTGGCCAGCTGGCCCTGCTCCCCAATCAGGGTGGGGTGGTGTGATTGGGGGTGGGGCCAGCTAGGGGGAGGGGCTGCAGGCAGTTGGGTGGCCAGCCCCACCCCTTGGTCGAACTCCTGGTCGAGGGGACAGTTTGCATATTAGCCTTTTATTATATAGGATTTTGGTGGGATAACATGTAAGGGAGGTTTTAAAAGATGAGGCATCCTCCCAGGCAGGTCTGCTCTCTGACCGCATGAGGGGAAGCTCTGGTGAGGCCTTTGGTTCGTATTGATGCCTCCAGCCCAAGGGCAGGACTTCCTGAGTGTCTGGATCTTCCACCGAGCAAGCAGCCTGAACCACCACAAAATCCACTCACACACTTACGCCCCACGGGCACCAAATACTAAGTAGCCAGGACAAAAGTTGTTATAGAAACCATTTTAATGGTAGGAAATGTTTTCACCAACTGCCCGGGAAGTTGTAAGGCCTGGCCCACATCCCATGGGACCTAGAGCCCCTGGGCAGCCACCCAGAGCTCCCGCCCCCACCCCCATTTCCACCCAGTGTGGGAATGTATGTGTGGTTCTTAGACCATGGTCTGGGAAGTCACAGCGTTTCCCTATCCTGCATGTCCTGTTGCTGCCCCTGGGAAGGGGGAGTTGAGAACATCCCCATCCATAGACCACTCCCTATAGCTGAGCCTAGTAGTAGTTTTCACACAATTGCATTCTACTTGAGTTGTCCTGTCTCCATCTCACTAAGGTGGGAGTTAGGGCTCAGGGGGGGGATGTGTTTTGGCCAAGGTCACCGGGAGTCAGTGACAAAGTGAGATTCAAACCCAGCCTGCCTCCCGAGCCCCTTTGTGCCTAAAATAGGAGCTAGGTCAAAGCAAGGATAGTCTTCTTTTTGTTGCTAAATATTTCCATTGATTTACAAAGTTTCCTTTGGAAAGAAAGTAATAAATACACAATTATAAAGCAAACTCAAAGCTTTTGGTCTGGAAAGAGATGGCTGCATGGGGTGGGTGGAGAATTGCCCAAGAAGAGTGACTGTTAGCATGGCTGGGCGCTCCAGACCAGGTGACTGGATCTGAGCAAATCACACTCTGTCCCGGCTTAGGACTTTTTGACTGTATGATAGTGCACACGTGCTACATGCATTTCGTAGAAACGGCACTTTGAATTTTGATCGTTTCCCAGGCTAGCCACAGGGTGGGATACCCTATTGTGACGCTGGGCAGCCGCAGCTCCAGGTCAGCCACGAGCGCACGAGGGCAAACCACCGATGCTCTGTAGTTTACTGCCCCCAGCACTGGTTTGTCTTCTCATCCCAGCATGCCTACCAAACGCCCATCTATGTCTCCTGCTTCTGGTGAGAAGAGGAAGGCAATTCTTGAGATGAAACTCAAGATAAATGCCCAACTGGAGGCTGAGCACATGTAAGGTGGGCGGCTAAACTCTGATGTCCGGTAGGTTAGGTGGTAACTGCATTTTTGACTTAAAATATTTTCAAATTATGGTGGTTTTTTTGGGATGGAACCCATCCTAAGCCGAGTAGCATCTATACTTAGAGTGCCGTTCCTTTCTCTCCACAGTGCTTCCCTTAGAGAAAGCAACTCAGCCCGCCTCTCTCGGGCATTGATTCTAAAGTGGTAGGCTCTCCCCCGTGAGCTCTGGCGGGCCCTCGGGCCTAGAAGCACACCATGGGCAAGTCTCGGAGGGCATTTCTCCAGCCGGTCTGCCAAAGGGAAAACTGCTTTTGTGGACACTACACAGGCCACGACGGCAGAGAAGTGGCGGCCAGGGCTACTGATGCTGTGCTTGAGAGCCTGGCCGGGGCTCAGGACCCACCTCACACCCGCAGAGTGGCCACGGGATGCTGACATTCACAAACCATGTAACACGTCCCCCCACTCGTCCAGTGCACTCCCAGCCCAGCACTCCTACCCAGAACCGGGTGAGACACTGAACCAAGTCAGAGATAAGGGTAAGATTTATATTCCTGTGGACAGTGGCATGATCACTTAGCCCTTGGGTTCAAATTCCAGCCAGCGGCTGATGGGAATGTGGTCCCTGCCGGAATGAAAGCACCCTGACGTCTGTCTTCGCCAAGGCAGATGGGTGAGTCAGGTGTGACGCTTGTGTACCAGGACTGGGAGCAGTCTGCTCCAGCCCCCGTGCATTGTGCGTCGTCACACCAGCCGACTCGCACTGCAGCACCAGTGGTTTCTAACAACTCCCTGCAGAATGGAGCCTGTGAGAAGAAGGAAGTAACTCGGGCAGTTCCACACCCCGCGTTCTCCATTTCCTCCCGCAGAGCAAGAGAACTAGAACTTGCTAGCAGTGCCCTGGCCAGCCAGGGCTCTTCGAGGTCCTGAGGCAGCAGGTGAGGGTCTTGAGGGGCATGTCCAGGTAGAAGGAGGAGGCGGCTGCCCACCAGGGCTCTTGTCTCCCAGGCAGTTTCCAAACGGAAGTCTCCCCACTGCCAAGTCCTTCGGCTCGCCTTGTTCTTCCCCACCTCACCTCTCTCCAGCCCATACACCGAGCGAAGGAGGGACAGAGAGAACCTTACAAAACTTGTCTGCTCTGCTCGGCTGGAGTCCACGGCTGCGTGTGCTGTGTCCACCTGACTGGGTAGCTAGAGTCTACCTCCAGGATATGTTGGGGACGAACAGACAGCTTCCAGGTCCCAGACCCTAATTTTTCTCCAGCGGCGGTCCAAGTGGGGCTGGCAGCAGAACCCAGAAGGGCCAGGCAGGCAGTACCGGCCCTGAGAGAGGTAGAGGGGCCCCGACAACTTGCACTTCATGCTGAAGATCCCCTTCTAGACTTTGGCATAAAAGTCTCCGTTTCCTTAAGTCAGGGGTAAGAAAACACTCCTATCAATAATGTTTGGGATGAAGCCTCACATTCACATTGGCCTCAGTGGCCCATGTTTCCTGAAGTCATTCACCCAAGTCCAGTCCGACAGCTGAGTGGACTTGATCCTTTTGTACAGAACTGGGAGTCAGCTGGCCTTGAGCTCTTCCTCCCCACCAGAGAGGCACTGCCCCTGGTGGAGAGAAAGTGAGGGCCCTGGCTGTTACACAATGGAATGTGGACACTGGCAGAAACGCCTCCAGAGGAAGGCCCAGGCCCAGAGAGGGGAGGTGACCTACCCAAGGTCTCGGGAACTGGGGCAGAGCCAGGGCTCCTGGCTTCTTAGCCCTGAGTTAAAAAGTATTTGACTTTTCATGAAAATAAATACTAAAAATATTGCCAAGTTACCACAGCCCATATTGGTAAGCCTCATTCCCAGTGACTTTGCCCAAAAGGCTGTGTTTTCTGTTTTCTAACTACAGTCTAAATCGCTTAAAAAATTGAAAAGCCGTAATGTTCCATTCAGAAGGCAATCCCGTTAGGTGACAGGCTCCACTTCATGGCCTAAAATTAATCACGTTTATCGGCTGCATAGAGGATGTTGTAGTGGGAAGTTTTATAGAGCAGGTAAACGGAAGGGATGGCAGCCTCGGGGAACACGTGGTGGTTCAGGGCCGTGTCCATCTCATCCACGTACTCCACCTGCAGGGCGATGCTCAGCGCCTGGGACAGGGCCGTGATCTGGATGTGGTCACACTCCATGGCCATGGGCTCCACTTCCTGCAAAGGCCAAAACGGAAAACCCCAATTTAGGAAGGAAGCCTGGCTCTTGTGTTCCTGGGTCAGAGCGTGCCTGCCGCTGAGCCCCTGCTGGTTGTGGCCACGGGAGTAAGGCCTGGGAGCTACATCTGGAGAAATCCAGATTTGCCTCTGAAAACTGCCCAGTGTTTAAATGTTGGCAGCTCTTTCAGGTTCATGCTATGCATCATAAACAAAACACAACTTGGGGCAAATGTGACTTCGGGGCTGCTACTCCTTAATTATGTCCACAGTCCAGTCCGAAGCCCTATTTCTCAGATGGGAAGTCTGAGGCCCAGAGCCACACAGTTCAGGCAGCTCACGGAGGATGCTGCTGGCTGGCTCGTCTGTGCTCCTGGCCAGGGAGGCTGGTGCTCAAGTCCCCTCGGGAGAGAGGGTGGAGAGCAGAGCCCAGGGCCGGGGCCGCGTCCCCACAGCCCAAGACCCGGAGGACCTACGTGAGTGCAGAAGTCTTTGATGTCCATCTCCTCGTCGATGAAGTGCCGGAAGAAGTCTGCGCGGTTCCTGATGAAGGCGGAGGTGAGCAGGCGCAGGAACTGCACGATTCTGTCGGAGGCGCTCTGGTCGTTGAACACCTTCAGCAGGCTGGCCACCGAGCCGTCCTTCTCCACCAGCTCCACCACACTGTAAAACTGGGCCCGGGGGTCAGCCGCGGCACAGCCAGACCCGCGCCGCTGCCCTCCGCCCGCGGGACGCCCTCCACCACATGGTCACTTTTAAATCCTCAAGTCAAGATCGTGCCAAAGCTAAGTAATGAGTGACTCAGCCCGGAGTCAGGTCTAGCGCACGGCAGTGGGGGTCTCCCTCCATCACTCGCTGGGGTTGTTACTTAGAGATTCAGAACTGAGCGTCCCCCTTCAGGAATGGGGTCAGGGAGTGGGGTGGAGAGGAAATGGGGGGAAGAGATTGAGGGAGAGTTTCCAGCCTGAGAGCTACTCTAATGAGGTGCCTCCTCCCAGGGGAAGGGCAGGGCTCTGAGCTCCCTGTCACCCCACATCCCCACCAGCAGGAAGCACCCCTCAGGCCTTCCCAGCTGGGAGGAGCAAGTGAGGCACAACCACAGAGCCGTGGGCTGGGCAGAGGCTCGGGCCGGAGCCCATCCTGTCTGCTGGGCCAGCGTGGAAGGCCCCGGTGCTCAGCGTCGCCGCAGGTTAACTCACAGCATTAAAGAAGTTTCGGAACTTGTGCTCCTCAAAGCCGGCAGTCAGAAGGTCATTTGGGGTCTGCAGTACACGCTCTTTGAACCTAAAGGGGTAGATGGATGTTTACAGGGAGCGCTGCTGTCACTGTAGCTGTCATCCCCTCTCATCAGCTGTCCCCCAATACAATGAGAAGGCATGTCACTAACAGGGGAAGGACCTCTCTGCCTCTCAGAGCACTGCCTCATGGACCACACACTGACTTGTTCTGTTCTCACTGTGTACAATCCAAGAAGGTGGGTATTATACCCATTTCTCAGATGAGGAAGGTGAGGTAGTCACCACCTGCTCCCAGACAAAGGCCTCTTGGCTCCGTCCCTCCTTCTGTCTCCAGGGTTCATCACCATCTCTGGCCTGGACCATGCCTGGCCTTTCCTTGCTCATGGTCGTTTCTCCACAGGGACCTCCGAGTGACCTCCACAGCCTTCTCCCTCAGCACCGGTGTCTGGCCTAGTTCACCAACCTCATCTCTAATCCAGTCCCACAGCCTCCCTCCCGCCCCACAGCCATTCCCCATGTGCCTCTCACCCCTTAGTCCCCCCTGTCCCCTCAGCCAGGGATGCTCTTCTCAGTAGTGTGCTAGCGACAGTTTGTTCTCATTCACAAGAGCTAATTGTTAAATTTTTAAGAATTTTACCAATCAGGTGTTAAACACAGCCATTATTTAAAAATCAAGTTATGTACACTTATAATTAAGTTATGCCAAAAATAAAGATAATACTCAAAACTCATCATTTTCTGATTATTTTACTATTATATGCTCTTAAGGTTCTCTGTCGGTTGTGTACATATGGTAGAAACACAATGTCACTCAGAAAATGCTATGAATGTCTCATTCAAAAGAAGGACCAGGTGGCTTAATCTATCTTTGGAACAGGAGATGATGGCCTTAACCTGGCAGTTCTCAACCAGGGTTCCTCTCCCCTCACGTAGGTCCTCCGGGTCTCGGGCTGTGGGGACGCGGCCTCCAGCCCTGGGCTCTGCTCTCCACCCTCCCTCCCGAGGGGACTTGAGCACCAGCCTCCCCAGCCAGGAGATATTGCCGCTCTGCCCCAGGAGATACTGGCAATGTCTGGAGACATTTTTGATTGTCCTGGCTTGAGGGTGCTCCCGACATGGAGTGGGTGGAGGCGAGGGATGCTATGAACATCCCACAGAGCACGGGACAGAGGCCAGCCCCACAGCAGAGCGATCCTGCCTGAAATGTCAGCAGTGCCACCACTGAGAAGCCTGCCTAGCCAGGGGTTCGGACACCGGGGTCCACAGGTCAGCCCTGAGTGCTCTGTGACTGTTTGGTCCTTGGCTCCATCCCCGGCCACTTGGCTGCCCCCACCTCCAACACGGCAGGCAGCTGGGCATCCCCGAACATCAATGCCGCTGCCAAGCAGCCCTCCAGCTCCCTCCCTGGGTTAAGTGGGCTGTGCTGAGGAAAAACCCTCGATGAAATTCAGCACCAGCATAGCAGGAGCTCACCCCGCCCCACTCACTTGAGGACCTCTCTGCCCTTCCCCAGCAGCGACTCCAGGTAGGAATAGCCCAGAGCCCGGTAGAAGCAGTTCCCGTCCCCCTTGGTCTTGCGGATGGCGATGAACCTTTTGCTGAGTTCCTGTGGGAGACAGGGCAATGTGGACATCTGCAGCAACACCCCTGCTGTCATGTGCTGTCAGGGCGGGCCCGACCTCCCCCAGGAACACGCTCCCTCCCCTCAGACTGCCCGCCCCTTCACAGTCTCATCTACAATCCTCTCCCCTGACCCGACCCCCTGCCTCACCTGGATTTTCCTCTGGTAAATCCTGTTTTCAGGATGATCCCGGAGAATTGAGAGAATGTCACATTTCTCTGATATTAGGTGGAAAGATGTTTCAGTCTGAAAGCAAAAGCAGCAAAGTGGGACACTTTCAAAAGCAACTGATGGGCCCTCACCAAGTTCAAAGCCTCTGAACTGTGAGTTACCTGACATCGAGACTGTCACCTTCCCCCAAAAGACATGTGTGAGACGTTACCAGGGTCCTGCATGCCCTGTTCCCTGGACAGGAGTCAGGTCGCCCCCCATGGAAGGTACCATCTGGTACCCGCCGGACTGGTTCATCTTCTAGAATGTAATGCCTCAAACCTAGCGAACCTTCATGCTGGAGCACGATATGTTCCCTTGCCGCCTCTGTCCTTCCCATCTCACTCCCTCATTCATTCCTTCTTGCAGTCATCCAACAATTCCCAAACACCCAGCCTGCACCAAGCAGTGCTAGAAATGCAGAGGTGGTAGCATCTGGCCGGATGCACCACCTACTGGTGAGAGCTCATATTGCAGCCCAGCTCGGAGTCCAGGTCAATTCCAACCCAGAGAGAAACCTCCTGACCCAGAGTCCGGGCCTGGGGCCCCAAGGTGGCTGAGAAGTCACCTGGCAGGGAGCAGGGGATGGCGGCGGGAAGCTCAGCGCCAGGGAAAGTGCAGGAGACTCTGTCCTAACAGCCACTCCCCTCAGGCCAGGTCTCTGCCTTACGCTTTTCCTGCCAGACTCAGGGCTCAGATGAGTGGGGAGCGGCACCCCTGCCTCCAACACACCCGGGAACAGCTCTGATTTCAGCACAAAAATAACGTGAGGGGAATTTGGTGTTAAAGCCACTGGGGGTTCAGTTTAAAACCTGTGGCCCTGGTACCTGCGCACAACCCAAGGGGACAGTTCTTGCGCAACAGTTCACACCTGAGAGGTTGGCGTTAATGGGGAGTTTTGTCAACGGAAAGCCAGTTTTCCATCAATTTATTGCCATCGTTTTTGACGAGTGCCTCCACCCACACAAGCCTTCCTGGGGCGGCCTCTCAGCCCCGATTCCTGTACCCAGCATCCAGGACAGAGGAGAGGTGCTACGACTAAGAAGCATTTTGGGGGGGGCCTGGGTGCCCCGACCCGTCAATGTGTCCCAAGCCACACGGGCCTTCCTTGGCACAGGACAGCTTATCAGACCCTCTGAGACCTTCTCTTCACCCGGCTGATTCCCAGGGCCCATCCCAGGCCTTGGACAGAGGAACAGATGAGATGTTCGTTGAATAGATTTCACCCCCTGTCTGCACCCTCTCCCCTCCAGGAAGAGAATCTCCTGGTCCTTGCAGGTGCCTTTCGTTACTACCCCACGGCTCCTGAACAGCCAGGCCTCAGGCTCACGCCTCTACCTGTACCCCCTGCCGCCCTGTGGACCCCCATCAACTACCCGTTAGTGCATCTGTGAGCACCCTCCAGCCAGGCTCTGAGGTCCTGGTTGGCCTCTCATGGGTCCACCCTGGGCCCCAGCGGCCAGCCCAGCCTCCCTCGGAGGCCACTCTGCAGGGCCATCCTGGGCTGAGTCAGCCTTGTTAACCAGGCCCAGCCGCCCCGAAGCCACAACTCATGGCGTGGCCACAGCCTCCAGCCCCCGACTCCTAGAGGCCAAAGCCTCCAGGCTGGCCCAGCAGCAGGGCAGGCCCAGAACCTGGCCCACCTCCCTCCTAGAAGGTACCATCACTTCCAGAGGCTCCCGGGGGCTCCAGCCTGGCTTTGCCTGCCTGGGACTAGGTCTCCAGAGTGGGCTGGCTCAGGGGCTGTGAGGAAATGCCCTTTTAAATGTCTACTTTAGGAGCGATGTGTATATACAAATACGCAGAATGATCAAAACAGTTTTACTCAGGTGAGTAATCAAAAATACTTGGAGGCCAAAGACTTAGGAAAGGCCTAGAGCCCTGAATGCGTTTCCTATCACTGTTTCACAAATTAGCACAAACTCGGGAACTGAAACAGCACGGACTTACTGTTACCTGTGTTTCCTGGAGACTCGGGGGAAAACCCATTTCCTTAGGTTTTTCCTTTATTACCGGCTGTCGCACTCCTTGCTCATGATCCCTTCCTTCCATCCTCCCGGCTCCTCCTCACTCTGACCCGCCTGCCTTCCCCCTTCTAAGGACCCTTGCGATGACACATGGGCCCCCCTGGTAACTCAGGGTGTCTCCCCTTCCCGAGAGCCTCACTTTCATCACACCTGTTGTTGCCGTGTGCGGTATCTGTTCAGGGGTTCTGGGATTAGGCTGTGGGCATCGTTGGGGGGCTATGACTCAGCCCACCATCCCAATGCCCCTTCTCTGCTGTTTAGCTCAGAAAATAGGGAAGACCCTATGCCTGGGCCCCCATATGTCTTGGGTCACAGTTATTAGCTGGCCTTGCAGAGACCCTGAACTAGAGACTGCCCCCCCCCCGCCCCCTCTCATTTGATGCCTGAACTTGTACAATATCCTCAGAACTGGTCTCCGGCTCTGACCTCTTCCTGGAGATCTGGCCTCAAACAGCCACCAGCCACTGGCATGTCGGACCAGCACCCCCAAATCACTGTGCCCCTACCTGCTCTCTCACTCCACCTCGGCCTCCCCTCTCAGGTGTCCCCAGCTCCCCTAAAGGCCCCTCCAGCCAGCAGAGCTCACACCGAAGACCCAGGAGTCCTCTTCACCTCTTCTCCTCCCCCATCAACCCTGCTCCTGGGTCCAACCTGAGCTGCCACCATCTCCCCCAGCCCCAAGAGGCTGCAACAGGGTCCCTAATGGACTCCTGGCTTCCAGCCCCGCCCCCATCCCGACCATCCGACGCAGCACCCAGGGCTGGCGGCTCAACATGTAAACCAGGCGATGGCATGCCCTTCCTCAACACCCCAATGGCTTCCCTCCCTTGGGAGAAGACTGAGAGGACAGCTCCCACCCTCCACCATCTGGCCTTGCTCCCCTCCCTCTGGCTGAGCCCCAGCGACAGTGACACTCAGTGTGTTCCTCCAGCAAGACACACACGTTCCTACCTCAGAGCATCCACACCTGCTGTTCCTGCTGCCTGCAATGCTCTGCTGCCTCCTCACGTGACTCGGTGACGTCACCGCCTGGGACAGGACCACCCAGTTTCATTTCATTCCTCTGACACGCAGGTTCCCTCGTTTACTTGCACACTGTCTGTCTCCCTCCACTAGGATGTCAACTCCATAAGGGCAAGGACTCTGCCGGCCAGGACTAGAGCCCCAGTGCCTGGCACCCAGAAATGCTCCTAAACTGCATGCTGAGTGGATGACGGCGAGTGGATGAGCCAGTCTCAGACTCCAGCCGGGCCACCTCCAGCCCTGTGTCCACTGCACTGCCAGAGCGATCATCAAAGTCAACCAGCTCTTCCTGCTCAAAACTATGCTATGGTTCTTCCCACTAGCAGAGTAAAACCCAACCCACGGCGCAACATGTTCTGACCCCGCCTGCTTTTCTTTTCTTTTTTAAAACATATTTTTATTGATTTTAGAGAGGAAGGAGAGGGAGAAAGAGAGAGAGAATCATTAATTGGCTGCCTCCTGCACACCCCACACTGGGGATCAAGCCTGCAACCCAGGCATGTGCCCTGACCGGGAGTCAAACCATGACCTCTGGTTCATAGGTTGGTGCTCAACCACTGAGCCACGCTGGCCGAGCCCCACCTACTTTTCCAGACTCAGCTCTCCCCCCAGCTCCCTGCACCCACACCGACCACTATCCTTCCCTAGAACATCCCATTCTTAACCATATTTCCAGGCCTCAGAGCATGCTGTGCCCTCCTGCCTGGGATGCATTCCTCCCACGGTCCCTCCTGAAGGAACATCCTTCAACACCCAGTTGCCAAGGCCTCCCGGTGAAGCCCTGCCAGCACTCCCCCTCCCTCAGAGGGTGCTGGCTTCCCGCTGTGCTCCCAAAGCCCTGGTCAGACCTCAGGCCAGGACCAGGGGCTCCGGAAATGCTTGTGTCCGGCTAGGTCTTGACCAACAGGCACTAAGAGCGGGCAGGCCCTGGCCTTTGTCCTCAGTGCCCAGCATGACTAGAATGCCCACTGGGGTCTTGTCTGACAAGTAAAAGCACCAAGTCACAGAAGGGCCCTGTGGTTTTCTGTTCACTACTGACACCCATGCATTCACCCAACATTAAATGCACTTGGAGTGAGCATGGGACTCTCACCACCTACAGCCCCCCGTCCCCATGGGGTTCTGTGTCTTCTAGCTGGGACCTTCCTCAAGCGTAGCCCATGACTTTGAAACGGGAAAGGAGAGAAGACACTGTATCTTCCAAAGACATTCTCCTCTGCCCACCACGCACACACTCATCACCACTCACACCACACAGCCCAGGGTTCACCACGGTGCCTGGCAAACAGCAGGTGCTCAATAAATGCTGAGTGCATAGAAGAGAACAGACCCACGTAGCCTGTCTCTCCCCCCTTCATTATTAGGGAGGCTGGGTGCCTTGGAGATGTCCTACTTAGTGGGTTGATCACTTCCTCTTGGAGGCACCCAAGCCTCCCAGTGACGGTGACCGGGTGAAGGTGTGATGCTTTTGATCCGATCTGCCCTCTAACTTCCAGTCTCATGAGTCCAGGGCAGGCAGAGCGGCGGGGTCAGAGGTCTCACTGTACAGCACCAAGGGCGGAAGCTGAGGTCCCAGACCCCACTGTCCCTGCGGTTATCTCAGCTACCCAGTGGTGACCAGGAGGCATGCCAGCCTCCAGCTCCAGGTTGGCTAAACCCATTATTACCCCACCTCAGGCTGCTCCCTGGTGGGTGATGCACAAACACCGGGGCCCCTTTCAGGGCAGCAGAGCCAGCAAGCCCTTGGGCCCTGGGTAGAAGCAGGAAGCGGGTGCCACACCTCAGCAGCGAGCTGGTTTGTCCAGGACGCTGGGGCTCAGGTGACTTGGCTGCCCACGCCACACCCAGAACGTGCCGGGCCATGACCCGGCTTTGACCCCTGACCCTGCCCGGCAGCATCCGGCAGTAGTGACCCATTTCCATGCCTAGACATGGGGGAAGGAGACCGAGCAAAAAGAACCAGGCACCTGTGCACACCTATTGCCAGGACTCTGATCACAGGAAAAGCCGCCCACCCCCCCTGTGGTCCTCTTGGCAGCCCATTTTACAGATGAGCAAAACGGTGCAAGGGAGGGGACTGGCCAGCCAAAGCCTCTGGGCTTCCCAAGGGGTGGAGGTGAGATTTGAACGCAGTGCTGTGACTCCCAGGGCCACCCACCTTTCCACTCCACAGGACGGGGGTGGGGGGCGGTGGGAGACAGGGGACCCACAGGGGAGGGTTCAGGCCGGCAGCCCAGCAGCCCCCTGGCTGCCTGGCCCCTCCCCAACCCGGGAAGGTGCCCTGATGTAACAAGAGCACTGGGGCGAGTCCGGAGGCTCGGGTTCAAGTCCAGGCTCCCCCAGACCGTCCCCGTGCCCTTCCTGTCTGGGTCTCGTTTCCCCACCCGCTCAAGCCCCCGGTTTCTCAGCTCAGACGGGGCTCTGAACCAGGGGCTCCTCCAGTCTTGGCTTCGCCCTCCCTCCTCCCCGTGCGAGTCCTCACTCCGAGCACCTTCGCTTGATGTGCAGGCCAGACGGGATTCAGTAGCCCGGCCACCGCGCACCCCCAGGTCCACGCGTGGGCCTCGGGAGGGGTGTCCGATGGCTGAGCAGCCGACTGGGGGTACTTAACCAAGAGGCTCAACGCTTAGCCCTGGAGCCCCCCCTCCCTCCCCCCCGACCTGGCTCCCGTACGGGCACCTACCTCGGGGACACCTGGGACTAGCGCGCCTGG